TGCTGTTTGATTATCATTCCAGCAGGGTTGGTACATTGCTACCATATACATGTCCCAAACGTTTGTTCACTGAGATTACTATGCCATGTGACGTCACATGTTCCGGATAGTACTGAAAATTTGACGCAACCAGATGGCGTACCCTTCAGTGTGGATACAGACTCATTACGGCATACTCTACCTGTAGTGTACGACTGCATCGCGCTTGCAAATTATGCAGGTTAAGAGTTAGGACGACTTCGAAAGGGCACATGACTGCACACATTCTATGTTCGGACACCAACGCTCACAGATGATTGACTGCGACCGATGGCGGCGTGGTGCTAAAATGTTCCCACGTTCTTGCGAGTAAAACGACGAAAAAGTCCTACGCAAATTGAAATGTGGATAGGAAGGTGGAAGCGTGTGTTTAAGCCAACAAGCGATATGTGCAGCGTAAGTGGCCGTCACACTAGGGGCAGTACGGCACTGCACAACATGGAGCTGGTTAATAAAGTGGGTCCTCATTTGTTGGTCTGTACGATATCCTATGGGACGGTAACTTAGCTGACTGGGCGGCTTGCAAATTGCCCACTTGTGCAAGCTCTGTGCGAGCGCGATTGCCATCCGGATCGATACGAGTTAATGACACAAGCAGGCCGAACTCGTTACTGGGGTTATGGGAAATATCCTAACCGTTTAATGTGTTCCATCCTAGGTTGTAAATGGTCACTACCCGTGACGAAACGGCGCATGGTAGATCGCCGACAGCTTTGACTACCTTTCTCAACACCCTCATTGCTCGCAAAGCTGTTCTGTCCGAAACGCCCAACCGTGGGAAAAAAGGGAAGGTACAGATTTCGTGAAAAGGAAACCAAATCAAACAAAGTGGTCCATGGTGTAATTAGAGGTCAATGTTTTGCGTTCGACACGAAAGCTTCGTCAGCCGAAGTGAACCAGGGGGTGATTGGTTCCGCTTTCTTAGGAGAAGGGACAATAATTGCGGTTATGGAGATGTCAGCAGGATGTTAGTCACCTTACAAGTCAAATTGTCATTAGAGGTGGTAAGATCCCAAGTGGTTCATTGTACGAGGTCAACACACTTACCACTCTGCCTGCCATGGCAGTAGGAATTGTTTGCGTTCGCGCTCTTCTCCGGATCCGTTCGTCAACGCTACTCAGGCTGGCAAGGCTATGACACCCCGTCACGCACTCGATAGCTCCACTGTCTACGCAGCTGTTGGCTTTGGCAATTTCCGACGCTTCAGCAGTCAGGCTTTGAGATTTGGATTGCAAATCCCTTCAAAAAGATTTCGACCTTATGTACGTCGACTTCATGCTCCGCGTCCTTCTATCTGCAGGGAGTGAGTCATTCAAATTCAACCGTCTGACACTTCTGATAAAATATATTTAATTTTCAGAATATTCGGCAGAAATGTTCGTTGTTCCTGCTTTGTTAAAAAATATCTTTTCTTTGTATAGTACCCTTCGGATGGCCTCTGAAGTTCCCACCGTATAAGAACAGGTAGCACAGGTGCCTGATCGGACCAATGCTGTCACAACACTGCACTTTGAAGGTGCGAATCTCATGCCGAGGCGTGCAGCGTCGTATCAGTTTGTTTCCATAGCCACTGGGTCAAACCCAAGAGGGCCATGTCGTCCGCGTACATAAGGCTTGTCAGTCGGTCACCTGGCAGAACGTCAAGTATTACACCTAGATACTTCACTGATGTAGCAGAGTGCAATCCATCACAGTCACTAAGCTGTTTGCGGCACTGTGCAGTGTGGTGCTCGTACTTGGCACCTATGTGTAGCAAAAAAAGCGTATTATGACACACAGATTTATTAAGAAAGCTTGGGGCCAACCATTGGGGTCATTCAGATGGTTGTGCACCCTCAGAGAACAATCTGAGTTCGGATGACTGCTTAGGGCATTTAGGTTTTCAGGTAAGTCCCACTTCTCTCCCTCTTATTATTCTTTATTCCATAGGTCCTCATGTTTGTATGGCAGGGAAGCATCAGTTCAAGTGGCTGATGTACTGCTGTTGTTGTTTGATTGTTCACAGGTAGTTAGACAGGGAACTGAGTGTTATCGAACTAGCGCAGTTATGCGCTTTGCAGGCACAACTACCGTAGTAAGGGCCAATCAATTCGGTGTACTGCATCCATCATGACGGTAAGTGACGCTTGCTGTAACAAAGCAGTGCCTACTCGCCTTGTAACAAAAGTGCCGCAGTCGTATTTCGGCATTAGCCCTCCTAGCAGACCGTCGCTCAAGACAGCTCTCGATAACCCAAGACGGCCACCTTCCAACCTGTATTTCACTTGTGTAGGCCCCTTTCGGCGCCTTACCCGCAAGCCAGTCATAACGCTTTGGCATCACCGCTCCCAAACATCCGCAGCCATGCACCTGCTCTCCGGACAGTGCCGTAGAATGCACGAGCGTTGATAGGTCGTCCAAAACTTTGGGCCGCGCCAGTGTCAAACTAGCTATAAGATCGCTCATGTGTCGCGTTAGCGGGTTCGCAGACCCCTCCCCCACTGGTGCCGTTTGAAAGGCATGCCTCGTAGTCCACTTACTCACACTGAACACTCCACCTAGTCGCAACAGGTGTTTGGGCAATCTTGTGCCCCTAAGCTGCGTGGAACTAGCTTCAGTGTAGGCGCTCGTTGTTGAATGGAGGCTAGAACGCCCACGCGTCTCCACCACACACCACCAACTCATACATCTATGCAAGGGTTATTGTATATAACGTCATTGGTTGATATGGGTTAGCTTCATTCCAAGGACACTGCGAGCGCATGGTGCAGCGGAGTGATACCGGATGTAGTTTAAATGAGTTAGGGACTATGTTCACTTGGCATGCGTATACAAATCAGCTCCTTATGGAGCAGTCCAACTGCACTATGGATGCAATCCTTCGGGAAAATTGGTTGTCACCAATTTATCGGGCTCTCGACTTCAGAACTGTGCTGGTGGTACGACGTTACTGTAATATCACGGTTGCTTTCATTCATATTTCTGCGTTATGAATGGAATGAAGCTGGTAAAATGTCATTAAGGGAAAGGTCCTAGGCATAGGTTTCTGATTCCCGTGAGATGATGGTGGCACACCGGGGCTGGAAGAGGGATCGCGACGACAAGCAGCACATCATCAGCACGCTCCTCCCATGTAGATATTATGCCGCTGCTGTTAGAGGGAAGGAGATGATTCATCGTATAATTGTCTACGTGTGGACAAGCTGAACGGAATTCGGATCGAATTTGGCCCACGATTTCTAACCACTGGGAGATGTAGTTGAGCAGTATCCACCAGAGTTGCGTCGAATGTTAGACCACGCAACTGTATATGAACCAGATAGAGAGAGGGAGAATATCTGACGTTCGGGGTGGGGGCGATTCTATTGTCAGACATGTTTTATGACTTGGTAGTTAAAGCAGTTTACCAGACAACGTGAAACATCAGTCATCAGCAAGATAAGCGACAGTGCGATAACAAGACGTATAACTTGGCTACTGTGGACGAACAAGTGACTCATGGCCTAACAGCAATGCGTACTGAACTGCAGTTTTTGGAAATATGCGAGCTCCCACAACGGTAAGCGTTATGGGAAACACACGCCCTCAAAATCGTGCAAGCCGGAACACCGTAAGACACAGACACTGGCATTCATGTGCAATGGGTCTCCACATCTAAAGTCATTTCTTTCTGGCCAGTCCCCACAAGTACATCCACTTTTTCGACACTTTCGCTTACTGTACGTGGCACACTGGCATTGTGCCAATCCACTTGCCTACCCCTCGCTTCTCTGGTTTGATCTACACAGACATTTCTATGTGAAAAAGTATATTCGTCACCAATCTCAGCACATAAGTGAGGCTGCGCAACACTGTATTGGCCTTTTTCTGGGCCAACAAAAGCGGCTGCTGCGAAGGCCTTGTTTTTCTTCCCACGCTCTCAGGGTGAAGTACACGTTCGTTCTAGTCGTTCGATCCAGCTAGGGCGTAGAAAAATGTTTGGCGACTAGGTCTTACAAGTTATATGAATCGATTTACGTGGGTTACACTTCCGTGCGTGTGTACATCTCACAAGCCTTTCGTTCGTTTAGACCAACAGCCGTTATGACAGTAAGCCATAATCCGCATTCTTTCTTAAGAGACAGATGTAGGACATTAGACGGCGAAAGACTTGAAGCAAGTGACCCACTAGCGCAAACCACGCGAAGGGAGATAGAGGACTCGGTTCTTTGCAGGCAGTGAATGATGTACGCTCGCTGTTCGTGGCCAGCCCAGAGTTATAAGGCGTATTGGCTGAAGAACAAGCTGAATCCTAGCACCAACAACAACACATCAGTCCCCGTAACGCTCAAGAATTTTCCTATCGGTGGCCCAAATGGTACTTATCAGTCTATGAGGGTAACGCTGAGGCGATTGATACACGGCGGAGTCACGCCTGAGCTGTGCTCTGTAAAACAGCAGTTGCTGATTAAGTTGTTCGATCGCTATCATAGCGAGAAGTGGAAAGGCTTTAGCTCATCGAAAATTAGGGGAGACTATACTGACATTGAGACAAGCCAGTATACCTTAACTGGCGTCAAGCGCAACATGAGACCTAGAGAAGACAGACTAGTCGGCCGGTGACCGAAAATATTGCGCACTTGCGTTGTAATCCTGAGGTCGCCGGTTCGAATCCGCGTAGGTGCGGGCGACCTCGTGGTGTATTCAGCCTGTGTGCGACTGGTGGTAGTCGCGTGGCAGCGAAGTGTCGGTACGATGTGCCGGCTTTCTGTTGATGCCTTTTGAAGACAGGCTGCTTATGTAAAACATCGGAGATGCTCACCAGTTCGCTTTAGCATAGGCAAAAGTGGATTCCGTCAGCGACACAAAAGTGAGATCACACAATACAGTAAGGGATCCGACATAACAACAGCCATAATCCCTGTGACTAAGGGATGTGGAACAACGGGAACTAACGGAATACTTAACTGCGCCATGACCGTGAGTGAAAACAGCCAGACTGGGGGTTAGCTAGTGTCATAATGAAAAGAAGCACACAGAACCACACAGTAAACAGATGTATGCCATAAAAAAACAGATGGCATATTAGGTAAAAAAGTAACGATTCAGTTCTGAGGGGATCTCAAGAGGATGACAAGCATTGTGGAATGGGAGCCCTGATAGGCACCAGGATAAATGCACACAAATAGGTACAAGGCGTGAAGATATTGACAAAAATGGTGCAACAAGAGTCAGTAAAAGAAAAGAAGACTAGTCAAGCTGTCCTTCGGTCCACAAATGTCGGGGTGCATAGAAGCGAACGTACCGACCGATGCAGGCCCAAACCTATACGGTCGAAATAATGTAAGTACCTGGTGGGAGGATAAAAGGCAGAAGAAACGAAGTTGGTGCGAAGCATGGGAAAAGTAAGTGTGCGAACGTGGAATAACACATAGAAACTGCGGTGGTTGCCAAAAGTTCAGCCACGAACCTATTTATGTATAGATTAGCCGACTGCGGCCATACATGAGTATCAACAAGCGCAAGTAATGCGGGAGAATTGCCTTATTGAAAAAGAAAGTGGAACGACGTGAAGTATGTAATGAGTTAGTGGTCGTAAAGCTGTGCCAAGGAGAGTACATCACGTACAACGTGAACATGAGTGCCCCTAAGCCGATGCTGTCGATTCGATACCACAAGGTTAGCACCGAGCGAGAAGAGGGCATAGCGTAACCAGATAAATGCCCGGTTACGACAACAAATGTGGTAACATTACTTGCCAAGAAGATAAAGAAAAATTGGCGCCAGTTAGGGTGAACACATCGAGTGTTGGAGTCCGATGTTAAAATGCCAACTTCGCGGCATTGGTGCAACTATCCAGCTGTATGAACACATTGAGTGCCCTCGGATGAAATTGTACTAAGGCGCGAGCAGAGTGGAGGATTAAGGGGATGTGGGAAGTTGTGAAACGACTAACGATGAACGTTGCGGGAGGTAAGGTAACTGGGATTCGTCTCATGTACCATGTACATCGGTATGAAAGCAATCAGTGAGAACTCGGTGACGAGAACACTGGGGGAAAACAAAGTGTAATGCAAGTATTTAAGCCGGAAGATAAAGAGGCAGTCAATGACCCAGAAAAGGAAATCCCGGATTGGTGGTCAGACTAGGTGGCTTGTGAGCCGCTGGGATGAAGTAGTCCACAGAGCACAGAAATATCACCAGGTTTGGCTGCCTTTGAGCGTCTTACTGATCGCAGCAAGGCATGTGAAGATCAGAATCAAAAAAGAGATTGAATACTAGGAAATGGCAAAACAATGTATTTATGAGTGTGCTCAGAGAAGAGTAACGAGAAAGGGAGTGAATACAGCCACAATATTCTAGCCTTCATCCCCACAGTTAGAAGTAGCGTCTCGGGGGTCCCTGCTGGCCCACACAAAGACGGCGATAGGTAGGATGTGGCGGAACTGCTCAGACCAAAAATAACCCGGTGGGGTGAAAATATTGCTGAAGTCACATAACTAGTGATAATTTCAAGGCATTCATTCAGCGGAAACGAGACAGGTTGCGTAGTAGCAGACATATGTTGAAAATCTCAAGAGGCAAGAGACTGTTAAACTGTTTCCATGCTTGGTGGGTCCGCTTACAAAGTCATATAGAATATCAAATACATCTATGGGTCACATTTCAACTAGGCACAAGCGAGGTGTGATGTAACAGCGGTGTGGAGCTTACTTCAACCAACCGAATAAAAGGTTCAGATACCAAATGAAAGTGTATAAGAGGAGAAATAGTGTCAACTGGACATAAACACATCGATTCGAATTACTGCAGCAGATAAACGATCGCTGTGTGAACAAAGCGTCAGAGTTTAACCGAAAGTCAGATTGATCGATATTCGTTTGCGATCAACTTGGTCTCAAGTGGAGCAAGCTTTGGCACCAAGTGCCAGTTTTTCCAAACGAGGGAGAACCAGATACAGGTAGTGTTGGCTTAAATGAGGATAGTATATACCTAACAGCGTTGCACATAGAGATGGGCACGATGAGTGGCAGGGGATGAGACTAGAGAGTTATGTTAGAACTTCCCAGTTGTAACGACACTCCCAGTCGAAACGAACGGACAACTTGCGGATTGTATACACTCACGAAAAAGTATTCGGCGAAATTCAGTTTCTCGAAAATTCTACCCATGGAACTTCTAAAACCCAAGGTTGCGAAGAGCATTCTTCGATAAATCTCATCAGGCGTTTACAATTATAAAATGGGAAGTTGAAGCAGGATAGGCTGGTGAAGCGCGATAGATAGTAGCGAATCAGAGCAGGGCAAAAAGTGAGCTGTTTTAATCGATAAATTGGTCGATCTACTCAAGCGGCAGATACCACAGTACACGTAGGCAGACATAGACACACACATATGCTCACGAGACATAGCACGTGCTTTACAACTGGTTGGGTTACGCACTCATCACCCGGTGGTTGTCAGCGCGTGGGGTGAAAGCTGTTAGGAAGTGTGTTAGCCCCAGGACAGAAGGAGCGCTTGAATAAGCGCCCTCTGTTTGCATAGTTCAGGTTATGTAAGCCAGATCGCAATGGCATCGGCCGTCCGTAACATTCGTTTCCTAAGCCCTTTAGGTAGTCAGTCAGTCAAAATAACCTTTATGTACCCTAATGGGTTCAGTTTCAGCATTTTGGTACAACATAAAACATGTTGAAAGCATCAGTAGCCTTGATTTGATGTCCGTTTTCGACCAGATGTTCTAAGATAGAACTCCTGATGAAGGGACAGTACCCTTTTGCAATGCCGTGGGACAGTGCTTCGATATCCGTTGAGACAGGCGCCTAGTCGTACGTCCGACGTATCTCACACCACAGGTGCAAGTAAAATGGTATAGAATATAAGATTCAGACTGGACCAGGAGTCTGTTTTTGAGATGTTGAGCAATAAACGACGCGGTTTCGGCAATGATGTGTGCATGTGCAGCTGGAAACGTTCGAGCTACTGCAGCGGAAACACTTGTATCAGCAAAGCGAAAGCAATATCTCCCTCGAAGGGAACGGATCGAAACACATCTTTCTTGGGAACAGTTGCAACCAATTCATGACGATCACGAATCACTGCGTGCTTTCGAATGAAGTGGGCTGGGTAACCGTTTACTTGCAGCGTTTGGAAAATACGGTTCTTTTCGGCCTCCAATGTCTCTGATCTACAAATTTTGGCAACGCGAAAGTACAGGCAACGAACAAGGTTCCGTTTGTGTTTCAATGGTACAAAACTGAGGAAATGTGTGTATAGACCGACCCACACTTCTTTCTAGTGATCCGTCTTTTCTCCTTAGAAAAACGTCCAAGAAGGCCGGTTTAACATCATTCTCGATTTCACTAATGAACTTCAAAGTTGGATGCACACTGGTTAACCGGTTCAACAGGCTGGAAACATCAGTGTTTGAATCACAGACTATAAACGTGTCATCCATGTATCGACAATAGAAATCAAATGAAGAGATGATGGGTTTTATAGGTCCATGTTTGAACAGAAACTAAAGGAATTAATCTTACGATGCACTTTCAACAGACAGTTTTTATTTGATGGAATCTACCACAGATAGATCGACGGAGTCGCGATGCGGTCTCCCCTGGGACCGTTTCTTGCTGACATTTTCTTTGCTATGCTTGAACATGGACCTATAAAACCCATCATCTCTTCATTTGATTTCTATTGTCGATACATGGATGACACGTTTATAGTCTGTGATTTAAACGCTGTGTTTCCAGCCTGTTGGAACGGTTAAACAGTGTGCATAGTGTGGTGGTAGCTAGCGAACGAGCGAGCAGCGATGACCCCAGACGGACCAGGATTACGATCGGTCAAAACCCACAGTGACCACTTGTTTGCTGCTTTGGGCGCTCAAACGCAGCTTCTGCAATTGGTTTAAAGAGATAGCAACACAGTTCTTCCCTTCCATTACAAGACTAATGCTAGGATACGGCTAGCTCGATTATCGTCCGATCACCCGTGGCGAGGTGCAGGGACTGGAACGCATTCAGCATGTAGCTACACACTCATCCCCAATTTACGGGGCACGTCGTACGAAGTCCGATGCAGGAGATTAGGGCCGTACACCCTATCCTATCGTCGGTTTCCAGTGGACATCATAATGACGCACCGGAGATTGAATCTGGGTCACTTCCCCACGTTGAGGCCAGCGCTGCATGTATACGTACCAAACAGCACTCGCAGACACTGGCACAAGCTCCTAGTACCGAGTCTGAAAAGTGTAACTTCGAGTGGTGAAATGCTGGAACAGTTTACCCGAGACAATAGTCAAGGCGAAATCGGTGTCGGAATTCAAGCAATTTCTAGATGCCCACTTTACGGATCCCAGATCTAAGGAGCGCATCGCACAAGAATAACATATGACGTGCAAACGCACAGGAATCAGCGAAGTGATTCTGCGCATGTGCCCAATCAAACTACGATGGAGCGATGTATATATATATATATATATATATATATATATATATATATATATATATATAATTGGCTCATGCCATGGACGCCTCCTCGTGGCGACCGCTGGGTGGGATTTGGGTTACGCCCTTCTCCCTGCTAAGATCCAGGACACCAATACGCATGAGTCAGTGAACTGACCAGGTGCTAGACCTGCTGTCTTTCGGGTGTACATTTAATCGAAGGCTTTGGCTGAGGACCCGAGTCGTTCTCCTGTCAGGTATGGGCGCCCTGCCAGTATCCTAGTCCATCCTCTTCGGCGATTAGGAAGTGGGCGATGGCCCTCTTCCAGTAAAACCTAGCCATGGGAGACAATAGGTCTAAGGGTTATAAGTTCACAGCTCGATTGGCGTAGAGCACAAGCGCCACGCATTGTTTCTGACGATCGGAGGGCACCTCCGGGTGCTTAATTGTTTGCTACTGCCCGCCTCAAACCAGGCAGCCCCTGGTCAAATTGGTGCAAACCCGCCAAAACCAACCTGCGTCTGGCCGTGGTCGAAGGTGTATCCTACTAAGGTCGCAAAACACATATGAATCGATCCAGTACCTCAAAGGCTGCGTGTGACGGTCGTCAAGCAGATCCCAATCTATCTCTACAACCAACTTCCCGAGCTGGATACGCTACCCACTAACTTGTGGGTCAGGCTATTGAGCCAAAGGCTCCGGGAGGAGTCCCTCAAGCAAACTTCCAAACAACCCACTGCTTTCTGCGTCAGGCTATTGAGCTAAAGGCTCTGGGTGGAGTCCCTCAAGCAAACCTCCGAAGCACAACGACCACCTCGCGTGCGATTACCCACCAATGCAATCGTATGCCTGCGCGCAAAGCACTCAGCATCGGGTGCTGGAACGTGCGCACGCTACTG